TTTTTAGAAAACTGATTACTTAAATTATTTTAATATTTTTAAAATTATATAATTTAAAAGTTATTTTTATAAAATGACTTAAAAAATGTTATCACTTTTACATAAAGTAGTAATTTAAAATTCTTGGGTTATTTTAATATTTTTAAAAAGATGTAATTAAAAGATTGTGAAAAAAATAAAATAAAATAGTTAATATCACGCAACTCACCGAGTCATAGTTATTTACAAAAAAATCATTCTTACATATATTTTTTAATAAATAAATCATCGAACCTTTAAAAATTGGTTATTTGGATTATTTCAACCAAAAAATGCTATATATCATGGTAATATAAAAAGATTGTTTTTTTTATAATACGTAAAAATCTGATAATATTATTATATCGAATTTATATGTAGTTTGGTAATACAAAAAAATTGTTTTTTTAATAAATAACTATTAAAAAATTACATTTTTAAGAATCGTTATTAAAAGAGAAACTTAAACATATAATATTTTTAATAGAAATTTTGATTAAAAAATAAATATTTTTTAGTAATAATATATTTACATAATAATAAATAATATTTATAATAATAATATATTTACAATTAAATAAATTGAGTAAAAGAAATTAGTATAAAAAAGGAAAAAGACAACAAAGAGACAAAAATACAAAAAATAAACAAAAAAATTATTATATAGGATGATAGGGGTGTCATTAGTAAGGAGTAGGGGTGTCGTTAGCATCCCCTAAATTAAATTTGGAAAGAGAAAGAAGATCAAAATAGTTCTCTTATTTAAGTGAGTTGATTAAATTTATTTGACTATATTAATACCAGTGACTTAGAGTGTGCAAAATTAAAGCCACGAGTCTCATCCTTGTTTAATATAATATAACATACTTTTATTATAATTTTTTTCTTCTTATTTCGGGTCTACTAAATTATAAGATGGATGTATATATAGAATTTGATTGAATTCATTCGTTCAATCCTAACAACTTTAATAACTCGTCCATACCTGCATGGTTCGTCGTCGTTTCTCAATACCCGCTTGTATTAGACTATTAACGAATGCTTGTATTATATGAAGGTTATTTGAATGCTTATATATGTAGAAATAAGTGATACAACACTTATGAACATGTTATCTGGATGCTCGATAGTTTTAATAAATCTAAATCTAGTTAGTAAATATGTTAACATAAATAAATTTGTAACTTCAACTTTTGCAACATTGGTACAAACACCATACCAACTTGTATCAATCAAAAAAAGTTAATACCGAATACAACTGATTGATACATGACACAAAATTTTACGTACCAATTATAATTGGTCGGAAAGATCGATAAATACGGATCGACAATTATTATTTTCAAATAAAAATTTAAAACAAAATCAATAATCTACAAATTGCGATTTCATGGATATCATCGATCCACTCCGAAGGGTATTTAACTATCTCCGTCTCTTTAACTGCAGCGACTTATCCAAATTCCGGCCATCGATATGTGCACTCTCGAAAAGCAAGGCAACATCTTCTTCCTCACGTTGACCGGCGATGGCGGCGATGAACATCGCCTCAATCCTACTCTCATCTCATCCATCCGATCAGCTCTTTCTCAAGCCAAATCTCAGTCAACTCCCGGCACCGTTCTTGTCACCGTCGCTCAAGGTAAGTTTTTCTCTAATGGTTTCGATCTCGTCTGGGCCAGATCCGCCTCAGGAGGATGTCCTTCCAAAGCCGTCGATCTCCTCCGCCACATGGTGAACCTCTTCAAGGATGTAGTCGCCGACCTCCTCTCCCTCCCTATGCCAACGATAGCCGCCGTTACCGGCCACGCCGCAGCGGCGGGACTTCTGCTCGCGATGAGCCACGACTACGTCCTGATGCGGCGAGATCGGGGGGTTTTGTACATGAGCGAGATCGATATCGGGATGACGTTACCGGAATACTTCACGGCTCTAATGAGGTCGAAAGTGGCGAAGCCGGAATCCCGGCGGGATCTGTTGTTGCGTGGGATGAGGGTGAAAGCAGAGGAAGCGGTGGCGAAGGGATTAATCGACTCTGCGCATGACAACGGGGAGAAGGCGGTGGAGGCTGCTGTGCGCCTGGGGGAAGAGTTGACGAAGAGGAAGTGGGACGGCGAGATATACGCTGAGATCCGGAAGTCGCTGTATCCAGAGATATGTGGCGTGCTCGGCTTAACCAGTAAGTCAGTTGTAAAAGCTCGGCTTTGAAGGGGTGGAAATGTTATTTATCAGATTTATAAGGTTGTTTTGTTGTGGGGGAATATTTGAGGGGGTGTGACTGCATAACCTTTGAATAATGTTACCCAAATTGAAATATAAACTTAAACTACTTTAATTTTTCAAATGAAACCAGATATATATTAATGTATGTGGATGTAAAATAAAAAATCAATAAAAATGTTTTATATAATTTGTTAGTTATATGGTTTGAATATTTTTTTATTAAAAATAAATTGGTGTAAAATAATATTGTAAGCGACTTTTTAATCAAATCATTCATAAATCTATTTTCATGTTTTCAACACCATCTTATTTCCATTTGAACATTGATTATTGATCAAATATTTAACAAAATAATATAGTTTATGTTTTGATTCTCAATGGTTCGTTTGGTTTGTATGATTGTTTTTAAGGTATTTGGATTTTATAGAGGGATTCGGACTGTAATAGATTTGAAATAATTGGTGTGTTTGGTTTGTAGGATTTGGAATATAATTGGATTTTATTTTTAATAGATAGTTTATAAAAATAATTAAATTATATTTTTATTAATCAATTATTACAAAACAAATGTATTTAACATTTTTTTAAAACCTTATTTTATATAATTCTACGAAATCTCGAGTATTCCCTCCGGATTTCAAAATCTTATATTTGTAGGATCTCAATTAAATCAAGGATTTCAAATCTCGGATTTTTTTCATTTGATCACAACCTTTTCATTTCTGATCGGATTTGGGCGATTTTGGAGGCTATGGTTTTTAATATCTTTAAGGGAGAACAAATAGGATTAAAGTTTCCTTGACTATTTAGGGTTCCTGGAAGTTGAAAAGGTAAAATCTAAAACTTTGTTTCTTGACCTATAATATCGTATTTGCATCTCACTTTTGATGAGTTTTATGAATATTTGTGCTTTTCGACATACTTGATATGTTTTTAGTTTAAATATTGGCAGAATGTTGATAATAGATTTATTTGATTATTTTGAAACATAAACCTTCAATGAATTCACCAACTGACATTTATTTCGTCAAATGAGGTTTCTTGAGTATTTGGATAACTCGTGAGCAATATATGGTTTTGTTTCGTGGAAAGTGTTGTTTTGGGATTTACCCAACTTGTGAACTTCAATGGCGGCACTTGAGTCCTTGAAGTTATAAACGTGCAAATCTTTGATATTTGCCTATTATCGGCTTTGTGAGAACTTTTGAAAATGTAAACCATTCGGTTTTTGGACTTCTTGCTATTATGCTTAAATAAAGTGATGGGTATGGACCCATTCACGTAATGGGTGCCATGTGCATTTTAAAATATTTGGAAAATGTCTTTCGTTCTTATAAGGATTACGATGACTTTATTCAAGTCTAAGTGTTTATGGATCCCTTTGGCTTGATTTTAACTTAAATGAGTTAAGAGAACATTTATCTGCTTTTAATAGTTCATTATGGGGTTTTAGACGTATAATGCATATGTTATATAATTTGAATCATATAATTTTTTAGACTGTAATGCAAAGTGGAAAATTGAAAAACAACTATGTATTACGAGTTTTTACAATAGGTGGGAGTTCAAACGAAAACTCATATGTTTTGTGAAAATGCGATAACAGTTGTGAGTCTCTAACATTTTTTAACCAATTATTTAAATTATAATAAATAAAAACATATCAATAAGGGTATTAATGTAATTAGGTAATTTTTTTATGTTATTTTAATTAATTGTAATTATTCCATTATTTTAGATTGAAACTGATCACGTCGAATCTCACGTCCCCATCCCCATCATTTTTATGTATTTGCAATGTGATACCCAGTTATTTTGCTTGACTCGAAGTGTTAACTGTAACAGTAATGTGATTATCAATCAACTTCTGCATTTCAATTTTGAAGTGTTAGGGGCCGTTTACCAAACACTTACCTAGTAAACGCTTACCATTAAATTTAACAATATCGTTTACTTACCGGGTAAGATGTTTGTCCACCAGAACGGTATCGTACACAACAATTTACCTGGTAAGCACTTACTATGGTAAGAGTCGTCGTCCTCACTTACCGGATAAGACTCGTCGTCCTCACTTAACGGGTAAAACTCTTGGTCTTTATCTCACTCTTACCGGGTAAGATTTTTTGTCCTTACCATATTCATCCGGTAAGATAATGTAACTTGATGTTCACTTACTTTAGTAAGCGTTTGATAAACAACCCCTTAAATGTGATAATCTCTAAAATCCTACTCCAGGGTAAATAAGGATAGTGAATAGTAGTATCTTTTAGTATATCACCTACCACACTTTTATGAGTAAAATGATGACCACAATAAATGCTTGCAACCATATCCACAAAAATAAAGATTTTTAGATGTCATTTGTTGACTTTCTATACATCGATTTCTCATTTCTACTTTCGCATTTGCAATTGCTTGGTAGTTCAACTTTCTCAGTTTTATTTGATTTACAAATAATGGCCTTCTTCTTAGATGAGTTTCGGCATCTTAAAATCGAACTAGAAGATATAAAATCAGCCACCGACAACTTTAGCAATGACAACTTGATCGGAAAGGGTGGGTTCGGGAACGTCTACAAAGGAGAAATCTCTCTCTCAAATGGGCCAAGCATGGTTGCTTTTAAGCGTTTAGATCTAGATAGTGGATCTGGGCAAGGAAACGTCGAGTTCTGGAGGGAGATTATGATGCTTTCCCGTTACTCCCATGAAAATATTGTATCCCTCCTGGGATATTGCAACGAGGGCGATGAGAAAATCGTTGTGTACGAGTATGCATCTCGTGGAAGCCTTGATCGTCATTTAAGTGCCAATGCTCTCACATGGATGCAACGCCTCAAGATATGCCTTGGGGTCGCAAGGGGACTCAACTACCTTCATGATCCTAATCCCATGGAGAGACAACAAAGGGTTCTTCATTGCGATATAAAAAGCAGCAACATCTTATTAGATGAGAATTGGAATGCTAAAATTTCCGATTTAGGGTTATCAAAAATAGGCCCAGCTAATCAGAAACACACATTTCATTTCTCTAATGTCACAGGTACCCCTGGGTACATAGATCCCCTGTATCTGGAGATGGGCGTACTAACAAAAGAGTCAGATGTATATTCTCTTGGGGTTGTCTTATTCGAGGTATTGTGTAGTAGATTATGCTTTAAATATAGTAATGGTCAATATCATAGTCTAGTGCGTATGTGGAAGAAAAGCTACAAACAAAAGAAATTAGATGAGATCATCTCTCGAGATTTGTTGCAGCAAATGGATGTGAATTCCTTGGAAACATTTTCAGACATTGCATATCAATGCTTGAAGAAAACTCGTGGAAAACGGCCACTTATGGTTGATGTCGTGGGAAAGCTTGATATTGCACTTACATCACAGAAGATTTATGAAGGGGTGAAATTGTCAGAGGAGTACGAAGAGGTGAAATTGTCAGAGGAGTATGAAGCGATAATTAAGAGTGCAATACCTTCTCTTATCTTTAGATCCAAAGCGGAACTGCAAGCGCTTCTCTACAAAGGGATTATCGTTAATGGTGGCAAAACGGTAAATGGATATTTAACCACTTACGTTGTGGCGCACTAGTAAAGGCTCAGGGGATGTAGTGAAAAATCTCATCTACCCGGGTTCAAATTCAGACGTTGCCAAAAGCCCTTGTGGTCATCGAGGTCCACCTGTGATTGCGATGACTCCAGGCTATTTGTGGGCACCTGGGAATTAATTGATGTGCATAAGCTGCCTCGAAAACCCATGATTACCAAAAAAAAGCTCGCAACACTAAAATCCATCCTTAAAAAAATCTTTATTGATGTTTTCCTTAATTTACGTATTTTTGAAGTTAAAAAATGAAGTGTACTCATCCTACATCACTAAACTGACTTGAACTTGTTTTAATGGATTGTGGTTTTCGTTAAATAAAAACGAAGAACATTGTGAAATGATATCGTCAACAGAATTTATTCCTCTATGGAAGCATCATCGCCATCATCGGTTTACAGAGGATTCAAGGTGACATGTCCTCCCTCTCGTTTTTATGTATTTGATAATAGAGTAAACTGAAGGCGTTGTTCTCTATATTGCTCAAACAGATTCTTTATAATGTTCATGTTCTCTAAAATAGAGAAAACATGAAATTTTCTAAGTTTAGAAAATTCTCTAAAACTTAATGTAGGGAGAGATGAATGATCAATTTATTCAATTCCACCAATGAGATTGAATCGTTATTATTTTATATAAAGTTTTTTAAAGGTGTATCGGGATGATAAAGTTAGAAAAATATGTTATAAATCTCTAAAACATCGAGGATTGGTTGGAGTTGAATGTCATGTTTTTTTAGAGGTTTTAACTTTTGGTTCTTTATTAAATTTTTTTTTATAGAAAACCTATTTGAGATGCTAATCCATGTTGCTTCTTCATGTAGATTTCCAGAGGTCAATTTAGTAGCACTTTCTGGGAACTTCAGTGCATACGTCAAACCTCAATTCTTATCACCAGGAATCACATACACAGTTAACTTAGTGTTCAGAATCACAAACCGAAGTAGGAACTCAAACGCACCTACGTATTTAGCCCTCAATTACAAACTAAAAGGGGAGACAAAATATTCAACTGCATACCTTGCACATGAGAGAGAAGATAGATGGATGACGGTTGAATTGTATCAGTTTACTAGCCACAAAAGATATTTTGACCTCGAAATTCTGTTTGATGGCGCTCACATTCATTTAGACTCCCTCGTGGTAGAAGGCATCGAGTTTCGCCCCTCAGACAGAGTAAGTTGGCAAATACTCGCTTATATGTTTACATCACTTTTCTTTTAAGTTGTTTTTAAACTTTCTTTGCCACACCAACATTTCGTTATATAGAAAAATGGGTCGGGTATGTGAGAAATCATCGCTAATAACTTTTCTTAAGCTATATTTTGACCCTCTATTGCTTGGGTTACACAAAATTTATTCGAAGATAATATCAAATTGCACCCCAAGTTTTGTGTAAGGTTCTAGTCAGGGGCTGTTTATCGAGCACTTATCAACAATTCCCGTTCTGATGGTCGGGAATATTATCCCATAAGATATGTAAAGTTAATTACTGATAAGCGTTTGGTAAAAAAAAATCTTTTAGCTTGTACGTATATACATTCTGCACATCCTAACCTATAATTTAGCTTAATTATCAACAAATTAATTCTCTTGTGAATCCAAGTATATAAAGCGATCTGAAAATCACTACACACATTTTGATTGGTAGAGAACCCATATCGCTTACCTACTTTTCTTGTGGGAACATTCTGGTTTTTAAAGAAAACAATTGGAGAATACAATATTTTCTTTTGTACGGTAAGCGGTAAATGCATACCGGTAAAAGTACACACTTGCACTTGACTTATCAGGTAAGATTCTGATATGTTAAAACGACATTGTATCTAATAATTTATATGATAAGCGCTAATCGGGTACGAATCGTTACCCTCACTTACCGAGTAAGACTCTTGACCCTTGTCATCGCTCTTAGAAGGTAAAGATTCTCGGTTCTTGCCATGTTCATTCTGTAAGGTAAAAGGACCTGATACGTGTTTATCAGGTAAGTGTTTAGTAAACGACATCTTATATTGGATGTTTAATAGGTGGCGTCAGAGGTTGAGAAAGTGGATATACAACCTATATCAGATTTAGATACAGATTGGGAAAAAGGATTGCCAGAAGATCATGAAGAAATAATCAAGTGGTCAAAAGATAGTATCGAATGGACAACGAAAAAGGAACTTTATTTTCTTTTTTGTAAAGGCTTCCTGATCAACAATGGTGAAGAGGTATACTTGATATGAATGATTAATTACGAACATAAGCGTTCGGGAGTTGCTATAAATAAATGTACTTACATGTTTATTGATTTACAGTGGTTTTTTCTAGCCAAAAATGGAAAGAAATGTCTTTTCCTACCGGCAAGAGCGCTTTTAGACACAAGTCATTGGACATTTCAAACTTTACCCAACTTAAGGTTCTTTCTCCATCTCCTAACATGTTTTTTAGACATGTCTATGTCTTGCATATATCTGCACCATGTGCTAACAGTTTTTTACTACAACTAAATTGGGTTTATAGGACACCATCAATTTCTAAGCATCTTGATAGACTATTTAACACGACTTAGTTTATAAGACCAAATTAAAGTGTCCTAAAACACTTATCAGACGTCATGTAAACTTATTACAGCCTATACATGGGACGGTTTAATTTTTGTTCCTATGAACTAAGTCTTATAGAATAGTCTATTATGATGTTTAGAAGTTGATGACGTCCTATAAACCCAAATTTTTTTTTGTAGTCGTAACAACGTTTTTTAACTGAGTTAAGCAAGCATCCACACCGAGTTAGGCATCAAACATATTTGGTAATTGTAACACTTGTATTACATGCAATATGCTTTATATTTTTGCAGGTTTGAAGAAGTGGCTCTTGATTGTTCTCGTAGTTATTTTACTATTCGTGGCGAAATCAAATTTCAAATGCTATCACCTGGAACAACATATGCATATAACCTTGTCTACAAAATAACAGGAGACTTGGACAAAATCGAGGAGCCTGTTAAAGTGAGAAATTGGAATCCTCCTTTTTCCGGTCCCGATGGGATTAGTTATCGATATATCTATTTACTTAGTCCACAATCATCGGTTATTGGATCAAATGTTGATGAAAACAGCCACAACCCCCCGATATCGCAAATGCCAAAAATCAAAGGCCTTCCACGACTACGAAACGATGGTTGGATGGAAGTTCAAATATGGGAATTTGAAACATCTATTAGGGTTGACAAAATTGAGATGTACTTTACGTTGGAAAAAGAATCTAAACGGTGGTTTCGAGGGATTAGTGTGCAAGGCATTGAGGTAAAACGTGAAAGATCATCTTCTTTATGATTAATTGTGAACACTATTGGGAATAAACACCTTCATGTTGGTAGATGGATTTATGATTATAAGCTTAAGGATACATACAGAGAGAGACTTGAGATCATATGAGATCATGATATTTTTGAGACCACCTAAATAACATTAAACCTTTATAAGGAAAAAATATTATGAAGATAATCTTCAATGTGTTTTTCCTATGAATGTTTAGAGTTTTTTTTACCCTCACAATGTTTTACTGTGAAGTTACAAGTGTTATTTTGTGCTTTTATGGGTCTCATGAAAATAAGTTAGTCTCACGTGAATCCAACCCTATATATATGTATAGGTGAAAGATCGTGTAAAAACGAGAGTTAATGTGAGAAACGTAAGAAATGATCTGAACTCTTGATCACCTTTAATCTTAAACCCATTCATGAAGCCTTTGATACAGGGATTGATTGATTAATCTGATGCATTTTGGTTCATCTCATCCTAATGTGCATCCAAAGGTTAAGATCACTTTTTACGTTTCTCATATGAACTCTTCTTCTTACCGAAATCCAATTATATATGTGTGTGTGAGAGAGATATTCAAAAAATTGTTTAAAAAACACAAGAGATCATGGAAACAAAAACTTGCTACAAATTCTTATCGACAAATTAGTAAAGAAGAAAAAGGAGAAAAAATGACTATTTTGCTCTTTATAAATAATAGGTTTACTGAGATAGGCGAAACATCATGTGAAAATAAAAGTTAAACTGAAGACGCTTGATCATCTTTAATCTCAAACTCACCTATTAATCGTGTTTGATTCGGGGATTGATCTGGTGTATCTCACCTCAGCACATCTTATCCTAATGTGTATCCAAAGGTGAAGATATCTTCTTACGCTTCTCATCTTAACTCACATTCTCACAAAAACCCAACCCTCCTAAAATATTTAATAGAATAAGGTGTTAATTCAAATTATGTATGTTAGAGTTATTCACTGACAAGCAAGGCGTGGGTGGGATGACCCGCTAGAAAAATGGGTTAGAACAAACATTTTCGAAAAAATAGGATGCTCCGAAATGAGTTGTTAGCGGGTTGGGTTTGACGGATTTCATGGATTGAAGGTTTTTTATAGTCCCCTAATTTTAACATTTTAACATTGTATTAACAAATCTCCTGAAATTATTCTTACAAATTACAGTAGAATTATGTTTTTACCTTTTTACAGTTATACCTAAAATAAAAATTACAGAAGCAGTTTTTACCGCCAAATTTTAGCCGCCGAATGTTTGCGGTAAAAACTTAAATACCCGCGATATGCTTGAAACGAAGTTTAACAATGGCGCCAAATCTTGGCTCTAAATAAATCTTTTCCCACTAATTTCACATTCCATTCCTTTTCTACGTTTCCATCAAATCTCTCTGGTCTCTACCATTTCACTTTGATTGCCATTGGGTTGGTCATTTTGTCGATCAACTCAAGCTATGGAGACATCATCCATTGCTGTAGAAGGCGCCAGCAAATACATCGTTTCAACTGAACCTACTTCAAAATCAACAAAACTTGCAGATGCCACGATTGACGACACACCGGAATTTCATGTTAAACGGACAGTTACAAGCACCGGTGGGACTCGAATCTCGACAACCCAGATGATCAAGCAGGAAGAAGAAGAGGAAGGTAAGGATTGTTATGCTGGTGATGCTAAATGTAGCAACGCAAAGAAACGTATGATGTCTTTTTCTGAGTTTCTTGAAGCAACCAATACTAAGGTTTTATCGGAAAACGATCCCCAGTATCTTGATTTTATTAAGAAAGAAAGAATGGATGAATCTGAACCCATATTTGATGTTGAACCGATTTCTGTTTGTAACGAAGCTGACTTAAATCAGAAAACCCAGAAGGGTTCTGTTACAAAAGAATCTGGTTTCAATAAGAGCACTCATAATGTGTGTGTTAAGTCAGAACAAATGGACGAATCTGAGGCTGATTCTAAAGTAAAACCAGTTTCGGTTAAGAAAGAAAATGGTTTCGGTGAAAAATGTAAAGCAGGGGAAATGCCCAATTTGGTTCAGAAAGAAGAAGCAAAACCAGAGAAGCAGAAGGCTAGATTGGTTCAGCCAATTTCATCGATGCCCCCATCTGTTTACGGTTCAAATTCAAAGAAAGTGAAGCAAGGGGCTGTGGAGGATATGAGGGTGAGTTTGGCAGTCATAGAAAATGGGGATTTTGAAGAAGAAGCTGATTGGTTGTTGGTGGGAAGGACTGCAATTACTGGGCTATCGACTACAAAAGGGAGAAAACTGGAAGACAATGAGATCGTTCACTTTGCTTTTCCTAATGCAGATTCAAGAAACAGAAGTAGCTCATGGGTGCCTGCAAAAGCTGCAATTGCTGCTTCTGGGATTGTAAGATTCTCTACTAAAAGATCAGGAGAGGTAAACATTTTTTCATGAGATTCATATGATCAGTGTTGTATTTGAGGAAATATTTTTAAGAGATTGTTGGTTGTATGTTTTTGCAGGTTGGTCGTCTTCCAATGGAGTGGTCAAAGTGTTTAATTCCACTTGTTAATTCAAAAAAGGTTAAAGTTCTTGGTAGATGTGTGGCTGCACCAGTGAATCTTAGCATGATGCAAGAGATAATGCTTTACATAAGGTTCATTATTCATCTTCTGATAGTTTCCTTTGGAGATGGTGTTAAAGAAATGATTCTTGTTCTAAAATCTTGGTTCTTTTTTGTGTTGGTTTTGTTTGACAGTTTTTATATCCACCATTCAATATTCACTGAAGATGGAAAGACTTCTTGGAAGCTGGATTGCAATTCAAACATTGATTCTACAATTTATCCTCTTTTGACTTTGTTTAAATTGTTGAAAAAGAGCCCATTTCAAAAGGTAAATGTTCTTTCAAGCTTATCTTCTGAAAGTTTAAGGTAACTGAATTTTCATTAATGGAGTTCTAAAGCTGTTGTTAACTGTTTTCTGACCAGGCTGAATTCACACCAGAGGAGCTAGATTCTCGTAAAAGGGTTCTAAATCTTGAAGTATGTTGTTCACTTGATCTTTACCTCCATTTAGTGTTTTCATGTTATGGGTTGTATTTAAAATCAATCTTCTGAACTTGGTTTATATCAACTGGTTTATCAGAATGATTTAAATGAAGTTGTATCAGCATTACCTATGGTGAAACGACGAAAGGGTGGTGAACCACTGCTTTTAGAACCCAATGAAGATGGTCAGATTCTATCTGAATCATCATTAAACAAGCTTGTTGGTGCTGCAGATATGTATAACTTGGAGGTACATTCAAAATCAACTTATGGGTGTTTCAAATATTAACTGAATCATGATCAAGAACTCGTATTTTTCACTTCTTTTTGTAGGAAATGGACCCTCCAACAACTCTTACATGTGATTTGAGGCCATACCAAAAGCAGGCTCTTTACTGGATGACTGAATCTGAGAAAGGTGTGGATGTTGAAAAAGCTGAAGAAACGCTCCATCCATGCTGGGCAGCATATAGGATATGCGATGAGTATGCTACTCCCATCTTTTCTTGTCTTATTTGTGTTGGTCTTAGTTTTTCATGCTGTTCCTGTATATGCTACCATTATCGTGAGATATAATGGGGTTGTTTGGTCTGGTTTAAATTTAAAGGTGGAAATGATAAGGTTTTTTTTTTGAACTTAAACAGAAGGGCCACCGCAATTTATGTAAATATTTTCTCTGGGGAAGCAACTACCAAGTTTCCAAAAGCAACACAGATGGCTAGAGGAGGAGTAAGTTATTATTTTTTGAAAATTTGGTTCAACATTTACTGCTTAAATATGCATAACAAGGATGGGATTTTTGTTTCTGATATAATCAAATTGTGCAGATATTAGCAGATGCAATGGGACTTGGTAAAACTGTGATGACCATTTCTTTGATCCTTGCAAGACCAGGCAAAGGAACCACTGAAAGTGAAGAGAACATTGAACCAAGAAAAGAAGATCAAAAAAGTGTTTCTCAAAGACCAAGGGGTGGAACCCTCATCGTCTGTCCTATGGCTTTGCTGAGCCAATGGAAGGTTGGTCTTTTGGATTTGATTCATTTGAATGAAGAAAAACACCCTTTTTCACATGTGAATTGATCTTCTTATTGGAATTTAGGATGAGCTCGAAACCCATTCTGCACCAGGCAGTTTATCGGTTTTTGTTCACTACGGAGGGTATAGGAGCACTAACCCGAAAGTGATAGCTGAGCCTACTGTGGTCTTGACAACTTATGGTGTTCTTTCTGCATCTTATAAAAGCGTAATTCATCTTCTTAGCCATTGAAATTGTTTTAAAAGTCACTTCACATTGATTTGATGAATTCCCATGTCTCTTCTAAGCAATAGAATTTATACGAAATCTTGTTTCAGGATCCAGAGACGAGCATTTTTCATAGAGTAGATTGGTATAGAGTGGTGTTAGATGAAGCTCATACCATCAAATCTTCAAGGAGCCAAGGTGCTCAAGCTGCCTTTGCATTGTCCTCGTACTGCCGCTGGTGTCTTACTGGCACTCCTCTTCAGGTAATCTCACATTTTGGCAATCTAGTTGATAAGCTAATTGTTAGTTGAAAAGCTAGCTATTGGCTAATAAATTACCAGTTGGCTAATAGGCCTAATTGAAAAACTAACTGTTAGTTGAAAAGATAGTTGTTGACTAGTAAGTTAAACTAGCCTTGTCTGCTAAAAATTAGTTGAAAAACTTGATGACAATGTAAAATGACTCAAATGGCATGTACACAAATTAATTGGATACATGTGTAAGGGGCATAATTGGAAAAAAAATGGAAAAAAACCCTTGAAATATATTTAAACTCTACTTTGGAGCTTAGGATAAACTAAATGGGGCTTTTTCAATAAGCTCAGAAAATAAGCTAGCTTATGTTTGCCGAATTGTATGCTTTACATCAAATAAAATTCATTTATGCAGAACAATTTGGAAGATCTTTACAGTCTTCTGTGCTTCTTGCATGTTGAGCCATGGTGCAACTGGGCATGGTAAGCAATATAACATGATCCAAATGTGAAATTGACAGACATTTTATCTTTATTGATCTTATTTTCTTCCATTTTTTTAAAGGTGGAACAAGCTAATTCAGAGGCCTTATGAAAATGGCGATAAACGAGGGATAAAGCTTGTAAAAGCCATTCTAAGGCCACTCATGCTGAGGAGAACAAAAGATACAAAAGATAAAGAAGGAAGGTGTGTATATCATTCCATTAAACTTCACCATTTTTCGGTTATTAGAACTTGTTAGTTTTTCTAAACTATGTGTGATCCAGGCCGATTCTTGTTCTCCCACCAACTGACATCCAAGTTATTGAATGTGAACAATCAGAAGCCGAACATGATTTCTATGATGCCCTTTTCAAAAGATCTAAAGTAAGTTTTGTCTTCAGAATTTCGTTCATCTTGATGTATAATTGTAGAGAGCTCATGCTTTTTTCGTTTATATGAAAACAGGTCCAGTTTGATCAGTTTGTAGCACAAGGCAAAGTTCTTCACAACTATGCTAATATCCTTGAGCTCCTACTTAGATTGAGACAATGYTGCAATCACCCATTTCTTGTTATGAGGTACATGTTTCGATTCTCTAAAAAACAGAAAAAGCGAGAGAAACCCCATCCCTCTCTTTCCTTTTTTCTCCCCCATGTCGCCACACAAAGGGCATGGGGACGTAAAAAGGAAAGAAAGGGATGGGGTTTCTCTCGATTTTTTCCTGATGGTCTTTAACTAACAAGTGCATGTTGTTATATGCACAGCCGAGGTGATTCCCAACAGTTTTCGGATCTAAATAAACTTGCAAAAAGATTTCTTGATACAAATGTTGATTCCATGACTCCAAATCCATATAAGGTCCCAAGTAAAGCGTATATTGAAGAAGTTGTTGATGGGTTAAAGCGAGGTGAAAACAGCGAGTGTCCCATATGTCTAGAATCTGCAGATGATCCTGTGCTCACACCGTGTGCTCATAGGATGTGTCGGGAATGTCTTTTATCAAGTTGGCGAAGCCCGGTTAGTGGTTTATGCCCGATTTGTAGGCAAAATTTGAGAAAAAGTGATCTGATTACTTGCCCAACTGAGAGTAAGTTTAGAGTTGATATTGAGAAGAATTGGAAGGAGTCTGCAAAGGTTTTGAAACTGTTGGAATGCTTAGAAAGTATAAGGAGAAAAGGGTGTGGAGAGAAAAGCATTGTTTTTAGCCAGTGGACTTCATTTTTGGATCTTTTGGAGATTCCATTAAAGAGGAGAAAGATTGGGTTTTTAAGATTTGATGGAAGTTTGTCACAGAAGAACAGAGAGAAGACTTTGAAGGAATTCAGTGAAACCACAGATAAAATGGTGAGTAAATTTCTATATCAAAATCTTGATTATTATACATTAGTTTTGATTACTGAAATTATAGTCATCAAGATTGCAATCAAAAGACTGTTTTACCCTTGAAAAGTTGCTGTCTTGGTGCACAATGATAAGACACTTTTTGAGTTAGTTTTGATCGGAAATGCAATGAAAAGGACTATCTTACCCTTGCAAAGTTGTAGTCTTGGGGCACAATGATGGGCTTTTGAGTTGGCTTTGATCAAAATTGTATTGAAAAGACTTTTACCCTATGCAAGACTGAAGTGTTGGTGCACAATGATAGACTCGTGAGTTAGTTTTGATCAAAATTGCAATGAAAAGACTGTCTTGTCCTTGCAAGATTGGAGTCTTGGTGCACAATGATAGACTCTTGAGAGTTAGTTTTGATCAAAATTGCAATGAAGTAGACCGTTTTACCCTTGCAAAATTGAAGTCTTGGTGCACAATGCTAGACACTTGAGAGTTAATTTTGATCAAAATTGCTATGGAAAGACCGTTTTACCCTTGCAAAGTTGGGAGTGTTGGTGCCAAATGATAGACTTTTGAGTTAGTTTTGATCATAAAGCTAAATTCTGGCGTCTTGTAGGTGTTGTTAATGTCATTAAAAGCTGGTGGTGTTGGCTTGAATTTAACTGCAGCTTCTAATGTCTTCCTCATGGTATGCCATTTGACTTTCAAAATTCAATTTTGACTTTTTTAGGTTTCATTTTCTTGATTTACTTGCAACATTCACATTGTGGTGCTCAATCTTGTAGGATCCATGGTGGAATCCTGCGGTAGAGGAGCAGGCGATAATGAGAATTCATCGTATCGGTCAAAAGCGAACCGTTTGTGTCCGAAGATTCATCATTAAGGTTTGAATATTCTTTTCTCTGCTCTAATTAAATAAAACCCATCTTTAGTTTCATGTATTTTAGTTGAAATGCCATTCAATTGTTCATAAAATCCAAGAAATCTTTGGTTTTTTTTGCTGGTTTTGACTTTTGTGTTTTCATAAAGTCAAAGTCAAAATCAACTCTCGTTTTGCCATGCAAATAAAAGATGAGGGCCAATAGTTTTCACTGGTCAAGAATTCTAACCCCTAATTTAAAAGACACATGTTTGAAAACTCGATAAATTAAAGAAAACCTGACAAAAAAAAGTCAAAATTTCTAAGCTGATCAACCCTTTTCAATCTTTGACTTTCTAGGATCAAAAGTCAACCTGGCTTTAATCTTTTCTTCTGGAAGTCTTCTAAATGTAAAAATATATGGAATGTTCTAAAAAAAACCTATTTTTATAACGATACCCATTTGTTAGATTTGGACCATTTCTTTTCGATATATGATAGAACCTTCTTTTACATATTTTCACATTTATAACCGCAAGTTATACATCAAAATTGACTATTTGTTTTGAAGGATACGGTGGAGGAACGAATGCAACAAGTTCAGGCACGGAAGCAACGGATGATTGCCGGAGCTCTTACCGACGAGGAAGTGCGATCGGCTCGACTTGAAGAACTAAAGATGCTTTTTAGATGATTTTTTCTTTTTAGAATTTGTTTTTTGGTTTATGAGATATGGTTTAGGGGCTTTTGGGGGTGGTATTAATTGTGTAGGGTTAGTAATACATCACCAATCCTAATTTTGTATATTTACCAAATTTAGTTTATCTCATTTACCTTGTTTTATTTTTGGTCTGAAAATTGTTCATGATTATTGATAACAATCTCATGAAATCTGTTTTTAAAAACATCAATGTAAAGGAGTACTTTTAAACTAACTTATGGTTGGTCAAATTGGCATAATCCATTTGCTAGATCTTTCTAAGTTAGAGGTAGGCAACGAAATTGACGGTAGATATGGTTAGAAATCAGTTTTGGGTTGGTTCGGGTTTAAATTAGTATCGATTCTGAATTGGTCTATTCTAAACTGAGATGTTGGTTGGTTCCAACCGGAAAAAAAATCTCAGAACTAATTCTAGGCCTAGTAACTGGTCCTTGTCCTGAATCTGGTCATGGGACCAGCTTTGTTTTAAAGAAAATTTAAAATATTTTTTAAAGAAAAACGTTATTCATGTTTTTATAATGTCAGAGAATACACTTTCAATAATATATTTACGTGGATTTATTTTATGAAAATTTTAATATCTTAAAAAAAACTTGAAAATCTTATAGAAAATCAAAATAATAACCAATAAAAAAATCAAAAATATACATTTTAAATAACAACTTCTTGGTCAAAATCAAAATAATTATCAACAAAAAGAAGGAAACCCTTTTCATTTTGAATGATTAAGTCTTAACATTTTTTTATGAATAAATCATTGAACTTTTTCATTTGAATGATTAATTCCTTGAATTTTTGTGAATAATAAATCATCGAACTTTTAGAAATTGTTTAATTACATTATTTTAACCCAAATAAGTTACCTATAACCGGCTATAAAGGTTTTAAAGTAGAAAGAAACTTTAATTAGTTTTACCATTCCCAAAATCTACGTCATTCAAACCTCTAGCAATTTAACACCATTGCTTCCTTCGTCCCCCCCATCGTCATCTGTTTTCTATCACTACCCAACCCATCATCGCCGTTAGCCTCTACCATCATCTACCTCTTTTGATCGTTTTTTTTTTTCTGATTTTCCCTCTTTTCCGATCTATTTATACATACTTCATTAATTTGTCGTAAAATAAGGAGAATCAAAAGACAAAAAAAAAAAACATACAAAAAGAGGAAGATCGATGGTAAGAACCAACAACGACGATAAGTATTACAGAGAACGAAGAACGATGGGACGACGAGAGGTAGTGAGAGGGCGCAACGCTATTGGGTGCAGGGTTTGAATGTTGTAGGAGTTGGGAATGATAAAACTAATTTAGTTCCTTTTTAATTTAAGATCTTCATAGGCAGGTACATGTAGTCTTTTTAGGTGAAAGAATATGTAAGTAACTAATTTTTAAAAGCTGAATAATTTATCTATTACAAAACAATTTTTAGCGATTTAATCATTCCAAATTAAAAAAATTTACTGGTTTATTTATTAAAAAAATAGTTGAAGGAATTAATTATTGAAAATAAAAAAGTTGGTTGGATATTTTTAGAGAAACTCCGGTTAGTTTAGATTGTGTGTTAAGTTTAGGCATGGTTATTCAAATGTGGAAAGGAACAATTCTGCTCCTCATCTTAATCATGTTATTTAAGAAAAATCAGCCATGTATTAAGAGAAATTCCACGTTAAGGAGTTGTTCCGTTCGTTTTCCATTTAGGCCTATATGGATAAAGTTGTCTGTATGATGTAACATAAATTATTGTTCGGTTGTTTTGTTGAATATATAATCTGAAAGATTGAAATGGACCATTTTACCCTTCAATAAATAACATTTGCATTTTTGGCAGCAAAGAACAAAGAAGATTTCTTGATATACAATTACCCATTTGGAGGTTTCTTGAATCCACAATATAAATAAAATCAAAAAGCTTTCACAAAATCATAAAGTTTCGACCCTCATCTTTCTCTTTCTGTTCTTTTTCGATTTTCACAGAATACAAAGAGATGAAAATATATTTTTTTCTATTTGAACTAATTTCTCGTTTTCCTTTTGTTTTTCACAAAAAAAAAAAAAAAAAAAATACATTCTCACATTTCTTCTTCATCCTAAGTTGAAATAGGTATCTTTGCTTGGTTGACTTCTGCCTCTGATACAAACTTTTACGGTTTGTAGATTGTTTTGAGTTTCGACGACAAACAAAAAGGGGGTGGATCGATGGAGAATAGAAAGTGGAGAATAGAGTTTGCAGATCGATGGAGATAGGACCAGAGGAAACAAATAGGATGAACGAGAGAATTGAGATAGAGTATGGATAGATGGAAGTGAGAGAAGCTGGGCATTTTGGGGGAGGGGGGGCGATGGCTCTAGAAATGTGAAATGAACAAACTTGGAATAAAGAGATGAGTAATGGTTGAGTCCATATGATTCTACTTTTATGGCAGACATATTAAGCCATCGGCTAACCGAATAAGTTAGAAGTGAACAACAATGTATGGCTGACGAATAAGCCAAACAAGCTTAACAACCCATTAAGCCATTACCGACAACCCCTAACATTAGGTTCGTTTATCACCCTTCTACAATAAATCACTTCTATTACTTGTTCGACATCGACTAGGTAGAGAAGCTCCACCTTATAACCCCTTATGTAAATGACACTTGTAAGGATGGTTAATTGTATCGACTCTTGCTAGGGAAAGGATTGTTTGATTCAGGGGAATAAAAAAATGGAAATGAATTTTCATTCCGTTTAGTAGAAAAACTAAAACTTACAAAGATTTGTTACAGAAGTGTTATTAAGATCTTTAAATATACCCGTTATTAGATACCATAATATTTAATATAGGGAAAAGTATATAAAACCAACGAACTTTCCCCTTTTGAATGATTAAATTTTTGATTTTTTTTGAGTGAAAAACAATTGAAATTTCTCATTTTAATTAATTAAGCCGTTGGATATCAATTTTGAATAAATAAACCATTGACCTTTTATTTTTTGTGATTTTAATTACAAAATTTATTTTCTATTTATGACATTTAAAACAAGCTTACTTTGATTTTCATTTAAAGAATTTATTTTTTATTTAAGACAATGTTTTTAATAAATTATTTTTTTTTTGTCAAAATCATATATGATTCAAAACTAATTGATCTTTTTCCAAAAATTTCCTAATCACATGTAATTTAAAGCGTGAAAAACAGTGATTCAAATTAAACGTTGAAAAATAAAATAATGAAAACAGAATCACATGTGATGTGTAACATAACACTTTTAATATGTATAAGGTCACATGCGATTCAAAACATGATTCATAATTTACAAATATTACATATGATGTTGTAGATAATTGATGGGTTACCGATTATTTGTTGATGACTTTATATCTCTACCTTAGGATTAATACTTAGAAATCTTTTGGATTCAATCAAGTTGGTATGTAGCTAAAACGGTTAGGCAACTCGAAGAAAAGACAACAACAAAGGATGTGCATCGGGATGCACCTTCCGATTATTCAACCCCAAGCCGAAATCTGCCGATTTGTTGGATCGGCCGATAGTCATCACGGTAGGTCAACTTAAAGATATGCCCACAACAACCATTCTAACAATATTGCACCAACCTCGGTTTTGAAACATACATTCCATATAACACTTGCAAGGTATGTTTGTCTTTTCTTAGACTTGATGCGACATATGAAGAAAGTACAAGAAAGTACTTCAGAGACTAGTCCCTTTTGATGCGTATGATGAAAAATGACAACCCTAAGTGGGCGTTTGGTTTGCAGATTCTGAAGGAATTGGAATGTTGAATCCCATTGACCAAATTTCATTTCCTCTTTTGATTGATTCTTTTTCACTAAAGTAATATTTAAAATCCTACAAATTTTACAAATAAAGGAATTTAACATTCCTTAGCAACTATATGGAATTTTGATGGAATGAAATTCTCTATTTTAACCCTATATACCATAATCTTATAAAACCCAATATGACCATCGTCGACCACATTCGAACACCGTCGATCTGAATCCACCGACCACCGTCATTTGAACCACCGTCGATCACCGCTATCTGAAGCACCGCCAACCATTGACATCTAAACCACCGCCGACCACCACTGATTTGAACCACCACCGATTGAAACCACCTAATGATCTGAACCACTACTGATATGAACCATTGCCGAACTGATGCACCGTCGATCTGAATCACCGTCATCCGAACCACTATTGACCACCATCGATCTGAACCACACTCGACCATCGCCATTTGAACTACAACAGACCACCATCGATTTGAACCACCGCCAACTACTATTGATCTGAATCATCGTCGGCCACTGTCGATCTGAACCACAAAAAATCAGAACCACATTCGACCACCGCCACCTGAAGCACCATGGACCACCACCGATCTAAACCACTGGTGACTACCACCGATCTGAATCACTGATGGACACCACCGACAACCAACGATTTGAACAACCATCGATCTGATCCATCGCCGCCACCATCGATCTAATCCACTGCCGCCACTGCCGATCTGAACCACTATCCATCTGAACCACCGCTGACCACCTTCATCTGAACCACCACATACCACTATCGATCAGAACCATTGCCGACCACCGCCATTTGAACCATTGCGGACTTCCACCGATTTGAATCACCATGGACCACCACCTATCTTAACCACCGCCAACGACCATTGATTTAGTAACATCATTTGGCTTATGGTTATATTTGGGTTGTGTATTTTATATTGTTTTACATGTTAAGTAATTATTTTATTAAAGTAATTTTAGTTGTAAAAAAATAAAATTAAAAAAAAAGCATTTTGGTCATTTACCAATATTTCATTCTAATTTCAAAACTACATTATGTGAACCAAACAAACAGATTCTAATTTCTTAACAGATTCCATTCCAATGTCTGTCAACCAAACAGGTGGTCAAACCTGACAATATTATATTCCATTTCCTTCAAAATCAAATTTAGTTAACAAATTTCATTCCATCCAAAAACATTCTGCGACTTGAATGCCACATAA